TCCATGTTTGTGAGGAAGAATTGCTCTAAAAGTCACACATGATGGAATTTTTGGTAGAAAAGAAAGAGGACGTGGTGGCTTTCGAGGACGAGGTAGAGGAAGAGGTGGACAAAGCTTGGACAGATCAACGGTGGAATGTTACAACTGCCATGGATTAGGATATTACCAATATGAGTGTGCTAGAAGGGAGAATGACAGAGCAAATTATGCAAAATGAAGAGATGCTATTAATGGTCTGTGTGGATGAGAAGAAAGCTAAAAAGAAAAACAACCACATGTGTAGAAAGTAAGAACTTTCCTTTCATATTGATGAGAATTTTCGACAAACTGTGAAGCTGGGTGACAACTTAAGCATGGCTGTGATGAGCAAAGGAAATGTAAAGTTTAAAGTAAATGAGATTGTGCAAGTAATCACCGAGGTATTTATGTACCAGACTTGAAAGACAACTTGCTGAGCATTGGATAGCTACAATATAAAAGTCTTGCAATTCTTATACAAAAAGGAGGATGTAGGATTTATCATCCTGACAAAGCGTTGATTTTAGAGACTTCAATGACATCAAATATAATGCTTACTCTATTTGTTCAATCTCTACCAAAGAAACAATCCTGCTTCAATGCTATTACAGAAGATCTCGCAAGAACATGACATTGTCGATATGGGCATCTAAGTTTTGGAGGACTAAAAACACTTGAAGGGAAGGACATGGTGCAAGGATTGCCGGTCCTTAAAGCTCCCTCAAAAGTATATGAAGGTTGTTTGATAGGAAAACAACAAAGAGATTCGTTTCTTAAAGAAAGCACATGGAGAGCATCTCAAATTCTTCAACTTATACATGCTGACATATGCGGACCGATCACACCCATCTCCAATAGCAACAAGAGGTATTTTATCAGTTGTATCGATGATTTCAGTCGAAAAACTTGGAGTTTCTTCTTAGCTGAAAAATCAAAAGCATTCTCAATTTTTAAAAGATTTAAGAGTATGGTTGAAAAAGAAATTTGTATATACTTGAAGGGCTTGAGAACTGATCGAGGTGGTGAATTCACATTCAAAGAATTCAGTAGCTGACAACGGCTTATACTTCGCAAGAAAACGGTGTGGCAGAAAGAAAAAAGTGGACAATTATGAATATGGTTAGATGCATGCTGACCAAAAAAAAAAAAAATAAAATATAAGCTTTCTTGGCGAAAGCAGGAAACTGGACGGTTCATATTATCAATAGAAGTCCCACTCTAGCCGTGAAGCATATGGCTCCAGAAGAAGCTTGGAGCGGACATAAGCCCTCAGTTTCACATTTTAGAATTTTTTGTCCAACAAAAGAACAAAGCTTGAGTGTAACGATCCTAAATTTTCACATACTCAGAGTCGCTACTAACATCTCATGCTCATCTATAATGCGAAAATATAACTCTTTTATGAACATTATTTATAACATAAACTTTAAAAATGCTTAAAACTTCTTCTCTGGAAAAAACAACCATGGTATTAGGTGTTTAAATACGAAATATTGAAAGAAATTGAGAGAAAATAAAAGCAATACAAAATAATTTAAAACAATAAAATGCATAACAGCTTATTCTAACCTGAACCTATACATAGCAGCTTATACTAACCTAAACCTAGAAAGTTAAATATGAATCTTGTTGTGCGCCAGAAGCTGAACTAATGTACTCACAACACCAATGAACAGAATTACAAAGAGACACCAAGATATTTACGTGGTTCGGAGAGAAGAAGTTCCCCTACATCCACGGACCAATCACTAAAAAACCGAAGTGTTACAAGTGAATACCTCACTATCACACTACAAAGACTCTCTCACCAATGTGTCACTCAAAAAATACGATGTGACACCCAAAACTTTCCCAAATCCCGTTGCCACTTGTTAGGAATGGATATCCAGAATGGAGAGCAATCGCTAATAAACCAAGTGTTACAAGTGAATACCTTATCCAGAATGGAGAGCAATCACTAATAAACCAAGTGTTACAAGTGAATACCTTACTATCACACTACAAAGACTCTCACCAATGTGTCACTCAACAAATACAATGTGACACTCAAAACTCCCCCAAATTCCAATACCACTTATTAGGAGTGGATATACAAAATGGAGGGAGAACTCTCTCATTATATAGAGTTACAGAATCAAATCTCAAATCTAATTCAAATAACCAAATCAAAACTAATCCAAATAACCAAAGTTATGAAATCTAATCCAAATAACCTAACCAAATCAAATCAAAACTTATGACAATTTACAACATATCTACCATTTCCCTTAAAATTGATATGACACACGGCTTGAATATTTCAAAAAATACTCCATAAGTGGCCCCATTATAGGGTCATAAAAGTGCAAACACATTCAATAATGATTTAGGGGCCTATCTCTAACATCATAGGATTAGCCTCTAGTCTCAGACAAATTAGATATGTAGTACGTCCCTACACACGACTCGTACATGTGAGTGTGAATCCTCAGGGTGCTCGCACTCCCCTGGATCCTCTGGTTAAGCTAATTTGTAGCGATGTCCAGAGGTCAGTGGAACCCCATAGTGTCTTGCGCCTCATGAACACCCTCATCTGTGCGCATTCGCACTCATCATCAATATTTTGTGAGCGTCAGTAATGAAGCCAAAAATTTTAACAGAACCCAATAAAATTGAAAACTTAGAAAGAATTGCACTTCTTTACATGATTTTTTTTTTTTGTTAGAATTGTTAAAGATTATCCTCTGGAAAATGAAGAACGTTTGCCAAATTATAAATGTTAGAAGATTAGAGAAGACATCTAAGAACAACAAGATGCACGAGACTGAGAAGGAATTTCAAGAGGTCGCCTAACATAAGATTGCTCCAAACTAAACATGCCTAACTTTTGTGATTTTATGGTAATGTGAGATTGAGAAGGAATTACAATAGGTAATGTGATTTTTAGGTATACTTTTTATTCTTAGAAGCAATTTAAAACAAGTAAATAATATGACCATATCATTGAAGATGAAAGGATTTGTGGGGGCCATCGGGTGCCAAATCTGGATTACAAATCCCGGTCCAAATTCTAGGTACGAGGTTACATCTTAGGAGACATCAGATTAAGGGAAAAAAAATGCTAAAAGGAACCGTGTTGATTTGTGCAGACAAATTTCACTCCTAGAAACAATTCATGACAAGTTGGTAATGTAGCCATATCACAGTGATGCAGAGGAATGTCTAGGGAATCAGTTGCCGGATCCAAGTTTCAAATTCCGGTCTAAAGCTTCAACATGGGGCACCATTTGCCATTTCCAAAAAGCTTCGTATCCATTCTTCTTCTTAGATATCATTCTAAACATAAAAATCAAAAAGCTTTGTAGCCATTCTTCTTCTTAGATATCATTCTAAACATAAAAATCAAAAGATTTAATTATTTAACCAGGGTTGTTGGGTTGAATAAGTTTATGATCCAAATAACTGAGGTAGGTCTAAGAAAATATCTCAACTCCACCAAGCTCAACTCGCGAGGAACAAATATCTTAAGACTTGAAAACACGAAACAGAGCATTTATGGACACAATGTTTTGTTTTTATCTTCTCTCTTTTGCGATTTTTGTCGTTTTTTGCCCTTATTTACCACGAATTTTGGCCAATTTTTATAAGTTCTTGTAGAGTAAACTCCTAGAACATTTAGCTACTTTTGATATTTAATTTTTCTAAGATTAGCGACATTTTTCGTGAAGCTAAGTACGGTAGGACAGCTCAGAAATGGAGATAAATAGTTAGATAATTTGATATTAAATGTAAATTCCTAGAATACAGATTAATACTTGTCACTTAATTTTCTAATCTAAAACCTAATGTCTTTCAAGACTTATCTAAAAAGATTAATACTTGTCACTTAATTTTCTAATCTAAAACCTAATGTCTTTCAAGACTTATCTAAAAATTGCAACCGAATGTACACCATTGACGAAAAAGATAGATATACGGATACGACTCACTGGATTTGTCCCCTCTAGTGTCAATTCTTCTTTCACAAATATTGATGGATCCGTGCGATATCCAACGAATATAGTTAGGACATTCAATTTGACTTATCGATTTTGTCTCGAAAATTTCTAATGGTAAATGATTTGTTTAGGGTTACCCATAGAGTGGGGAGTTAGATATTTTTTATGGTTAAAGATTTTGTTTTGTTTTTTGTTTTTTTTTTTAGTAACTGGTTTTTCTAATAAATGGAGATAAATAGTTAGATAATTTGATATTAAATGTAAATTTCTAGAATACAGATTAATACTTGTCACTTAATTTTCTAATCTAAAACCTAATGCTTTCAAGACTTATCTAAAAATTGCAACTGAATGTACACCATTGACGAAAAAGATAGATATACGGATACGACTTATCGATTTTGTCTCGAAAATTTCTAATGGTAAATGATTTTGTTTTGTTTTTTGTTTTTTTTTTAAGTAACTGGTTTTTCTAATAAATGGAGATAAATAGTTAGATAATTTGATATTAAATGTAAATTCCTAGAATATATATTAATACTTGTCACTTAATTTTCTAATCTAAAACCTAATGTCTTTCAAGACTTATCTAAAAATTGCAACGATTTGACTTATTGATTTTGTCTCGAAAACTTCTAATGGTAAATGATTTGTTTAGGGTATGATATTGTCCTCTTTGAGCATAAGCTCTCATGGCTTTGCTTTGGGCTTCCCCAAAAGACCTCATACCAATGGAGTTAGTATTTCTCACTTATAAACCCAT